CCGGCAGGAGGGGGTCTGATTGGGGTGCTGGGAATGGTGTAAAAATAGGTTATGGTGACGGATGCAGAGCTAAACGTTGTTGGGCTGTCCATTTAAAATGTTTATTAATTGAAATTGTACGTCGATAAAGTTGTTTTTTGTTTTACTTTTAAGTGTGTGTTTTTCACCGATCCCTGGGGTAGACGGTGGAGGAGAAGGACTGGCGTCCTACGCGTGGATCCTGTCCTTCAGGAAATATTTGCTGGGTTTCTGTCCTGGGGGACAGGACAGCAGGGTCTGAGTCAGACACACCTCCCAGTCCTGGCTTCCGTCCAGAGCAGCGCGCCCGATGGAAACAATACGAGCCCCGAGTGCCAGCCACATAATTTTACATTTCCTAGTAGCCATTTTTAAGGAACGGTTAAAAAACCCAAATGAAATGAACTGTCATAATACTGTAACCAAAAAATGTCGTTTCCACATGCAATCAGTGAAAAAAATGTTTAATGTGATCATATACTCTTTTTTTGGTCTCTTCCAAATCTAGTATATAGTTTACATGCCACCTCTCTAGGGCTCCGTAGCCACATGTAGCTGGTGGCTCAGGAACGGGGCAGCATAGGTGTACTGGGACATAGGCAAATGTATAATAATAAAAGCATAACATGCAAATTAGACCTGACGTCCTGCCAGACGACCTTCCGGACGAAGCCAGGGCTGTGAGGGAAGCCGGGTCCTGGGTGTCTGCAGGTGGCCAGAGGGAAGTCCGGGTCCCAGGTGCCAGAGGGAAGCTGGTGCCGGCAGCTGGGGGAAAGAAGGCCTACTCTTGCACGAATTTCGTGCATCGGGTCTCTAGTACATTTATAATGCAAAGTGGTTATACGTCAATGAAAAATCAACGGAGCCCTGGCCGGTCGCTCAGTTGATTGGAGTGTCATCTTGTGCATCAAAAGGTTGTGGTTTGATTCCCAGTCAGGGCACATACCCAGGTTGCGAGTTTGATTCCCAGTTGGGGTATGTCCGGGAGGCAACCCATTGACGTTTCTCTCTTAAATCGCTGTTTCTAAAGAAAAAAAATCAATTGAGAAAAACATCCTTGGGTGAGGATTTTAAAAAAAAGTTTCTTTAAAATAAATAAAAAGAAGAGGACAGAGAGTGTTAGAAGATGCGATTAAAAAAAAAATACAGGTCAGGAAAGGCCTCTCTGGTGAGGAGGTCATACTGAGCAGAGACCAGAAGGAAATGAAGAAGGGACCTACAGAAATACCTGGGGGAAGAGCAGGTGCGAGCGCCCTGAGGCAGGACGGTGTGTGGGCCCATGTGAACAGGAAAAGCTAGTGTGGCTAGAACCACGTGAGTAAAGGAAAAAGCAAACCAGGGGTAGATCATATAGGTTGTGCCAAAGCAGCACTTATAAACACCCGCCTTCAGTTTAGGACAGTGGTTCTCAACCTTCCTAGTGCCGAGACCCTTTAATACAGTTCCTCATGTTGTGGTGACCCCCAATTTCATTGTTACAAATTGAACATAATTAAAGCCTAGTGATTAATCACAAAAACAATATGTAATTATATATGTGTTTTCCGATGGTCTTAGGCGACCCCTGTGAAAGGGTCGTTCAACCCCCAAAGGGGTTTCGACCCACAGGTTGAGAACCGCTGGTTTAGGAGAAGTTGTTCTTCCACTTAGCAAACATTCAAAAATATTGAGTGTCGCCCGGCTGGTTTGGCTCGGTGGCTGAGCGTAGACCCAGGAAGCAGGAGGTCACTGGTTGGATTCCCAGTCAGGGCACATGCCTGGGCTGTGGGCTCAATCCCCAGTGGGGAGTGCACAGGAGGCAGCTGCTCAATGATCTCTCTCATTATGGATGTTTCTATCTCTCCCTTCCTCTCCCTTCTCTCTGAAATCAATTAAAATATATATATATTTTTAAAAAGGGCCAAGACTCAGGAAGGAGGGGGCCCTGAATAAGTCACTTAGCAAGATGGGACTGAACCTCTAAGAGGGAATTAACAAGGATTCTTACACTTATTTAATGGAGATTAAGAAATATTGAGAGTTTTCCTGGCCAGTGTGGCACAATGGTTGAGCATCGACAGTAATATGTCGGCAGTAAATCTTATATCTAAGCTCCAAATTTTCATGATTAATATTTTTAAAGCATTTTAATTTTCTTTTAAAAAAATTTTTATTGTTGAAAGTATTACATATGTCTCCTTTTTCTCCCCATTGACCCCCTCCAGCCCGCCCCCGCCCCCTGCCCCAGGCCTTCACCACCCTATTGTCTGTGTCTGTGGGTTATGCCTATATGCATACAAGGTCTTTGTGTTGTTAATATTTACAAGGAAAGATTTGAATGAGCAAAGAATCATTTTGTGTGTCTTCAGTTTTCTATAAAATGTTCGTTAATGTCAGTCATACTTGATGTTACAGATGATCTGTTGTCAAACCTTCTATCTCATTATGGCAAGAAAGGCTGCCTGCTCAGGGGGGACTTTCCTGGTGGTTGGGGGTCCCACCCAGAAACCTGGAAAACTTGTTCACAGAGGAACAATACCCCACTTCTGCTTGCCAACATATGAAAAAAAAAAAAAAAAGAATCAACCAATGAATGCATAAATAAGTGAAACAGCAAATCTCTCTCTCTCTCTCTCTCTCTCTCTCCCCACCCCCCCCCCTCTCTAGAATCAACAAACAAACAAAAAAGAAGAAAGGTCTGCCGAAACCGGTTTGGCTCAGTGGATTAGAGCGTTGGCCTGTGGACTGAAAGGTCCCAGGTTCGATTCCGGTCAAGGGCATGTACCTGGGTCGCGGGCACATCCCCAGTAGGAGATATGCAGGAGGCAGCTGGTCGATGTTTCTCTCTCACCGATGTTTCTAACTCTCTCTCTCCCTTCCTCTCTGTAAAAAATCAATAAAATATATTTTAGAAAAAAAAAAGAAGAAAGGTCTGCTTCTTAATATTTGGCCATTAAAACGACAGGCTCACAGAAGTGGTTACCATTTCCCTGGCTCAATGAACACATAGTCCAGTGATGGCGAACCTTTTGAGCTCAGCGTGCCAGCATTTTGAAAAACCCTAACTTAACTCTGGTGCCGTGTCACATATAGAAATTTTTTGATCTTTGCAACCATAGTAAAACAAAGACTTATATTTTTGATATTTATTTTACATATTTAAATGCCATTTAACAAAGAAAAATCAACCAAAAAAATGAGTTCGCGTGTCACCTCTGACGCGCGTGTCATAGGTTCGCCATCACTGACATAGTAGCTGGTGGTGATCGTGGAGGAGAAAAGGAAATGGACCAGCTGGCTGGCTGGATGATGTCGAGCGCCCACAACACTGCTCCACTTGTGCCTTGTCGTCTTGCAAGTCATGCCACAGATGCCCTTGGACGGTCTGCTCTGCGCAGAGCACTCTTTGGGGCACTGTGTGAAAGTTACAGCACCCTACCTCCCAGGGTCTGTGTTTGTATTTAGAGTAACCCTTCTATGTCATGTGATATAAAACATATTTCACAATTCTATTTTTGGTTATTTTGGTAATTCTTTTGCTTTGCCTACCAGGCTATGTTCTTGAAAGTGTGGTCTGGCCTCATTCAACAGCCTATCTCCCGTAGTACTTAACAAGACATCATCATTGATTATAATAATAATCAATACTATTGCCCTGACCGGTTTGGCTCAGGGGATAGAGCGTCGGCCTGTGGACTCAAGGGTCCCAGGTTCGATTCCAGTCAAGGGCATGTACTTTGGTTTCGGGCACATACCCAGTAGGGAGTGTGCAGGAGGCAGCTGATCGATGTTTCTCTCTCATCGATGTTTCTAACTCTCTATCCCTCTCCTTTCCTCTCTGTAAAAAAATCAATAATAAAAATATACAAAAAAAAAACAAAGAAGCCACAAAAATGCACATAATCTCCTTTGCCTTGGGCTTTAGTAAAACTTCCTGGTATTTTGCTGTATAAAATAAACATGCTGTATCGGCTCTGGGTCACTGTCTCTCCATCAGAGGACAGCTGTCCCACCCGGCCCCAGCTTTTTCCTTCTATCTCTGTCTCTTTCTTTCATTTCCTCAATCCCCAGCTGCCCCTGCTCAGGAACCGGACCGCTCTCTAGCCTCGCTGGACATGGAAAAGAGAGAAATATTTATAGTCTGGCACATAGAAAATCAAAATTGTGAAATCACCCATCCTCAAACACTCAAAAAACACCACCAGCAGCGTTTTGGTTAACTACCAAAGGAGACGCTTAACTTCCATGGGCTGTTGGAGGAAGGAAGAGGTTGTGAGGACTGGAGCAGAGAAAAAGTTTCAGATCCCCCTGGCTGGTGTGGCTCAGTTGGTCGGAGAGTCAGCCCATAGACCAGAGGGTCTCAGGTTCAATTCCTGGTCAGGGCACATGCCCAGGTTGTGGTTTTGATCCCTGGTAGGGATGGACAACTGTTGATATTTCTCTCTCTCTTTCCCTTCCTCTCTCTAAAATCAGTAACACACATATTTTAAAAGTTTTTAAAGTTTCAGATCCAAACTGAGCCTTAAAGGTTAAGTAGATTATGAATTTAGGTAGTGGAATAGCTGATCAATTGCTTACCATGTGCCAGACACTTTCCTAAAAAAGTATCACAGGAGTGTGTGTGTGAGTGTGTGTGTGTGTGTGTGTGTGTGAGTGTGTGTGTGTGTGTGTGTGTGTGAGTGTGTGTGTGTGTGAGTGTGTGTGTGAGTGTGAGGAAATGTTCCCCAAAAAGGGGTATGAAGGGGGAAGTGAGCCTGGGAAATGCAGACCTGAGGGAGGGCGTGTGATGGGTCAAGGCAGACTTCAGCATTACCAGCGAGGGTTTTAATTTTCTGCAAAATCAAGAGATGTAAATGTATTAAGTAAATTAAAATCTGTTCATTAAAATAAAAACGTGATCAAATGAAAACTGATGAACTAAAATTGCATTCAAGCTTATTTTACATTAAAACTTAATTAAAAGAAAACTTACTAATTAAAATCACTGTAAAACTTAGTTATTAATTGCGTCTCGGCCTTTTGGCTAAGATCAAGGGTAACATCTGTCCTGATCAGTTTGACATCTGATACGTCCTCTAATGACAACAGATTAATGGGGTTTGGAGCAGGGAGATGGAATAGGAGCTTGCTGCATCCACGCCGCACATCCACTCGGTATGGCAGTACCTCTGGGAATGGCACACCCCCTCCAGGACAAAAGAGCCAAACACAAAAAAAGGCATTAAAATTAAAGTGCATTGATTAAATGTAGTGATAAAATTAAAATTTATCGATTGGCCCTGGCTGGTGTTGTTAAGTGGTTAGAACGTTGGCCCATATACTGAAGGGTCTTGGGCTCGAGTTTCAGTTAAGGCCATGTACCTGGATTGCAGGTCCAATCCCCAGCCCTGGTCAGGGCACATGCAGGAGGCAACCAATTGATGTGTCTCTCTCACATCAAGGTTTCTCTCTCCCTCTCTTGCTCCCTCCCTTTCCTCCCTCCCTCCTACTCTCTCTAAAAATCAATGGGAAAAATATCGTCAGGTGAGGATCAACTGAAAAAAATTTTATTGATTGGATTAAACTAAAATATATTAAAGTTTATTAATAAACTTAAACGAAAAAGTAGTAATTAAAATTAAACTAAGCCCTAGCTGGTGTGGCTCAGTGGATAGAGCATTTGGCCTTCAGACTGAAGGGTCCCAGGTTCCATGCCAGTCAAGGGCACATGCCCGGGTTGCGGGCTCGATCCCCAGTAGGGGGCGTGCAGGAGGCAGCCGATCATTGATTCTCTCTTATCGATGTTTCTCTCTCTCTCTCTCTCTCTTCCTCTCTGAAATCAAGAAAAATAAACTAAAATTTTTAATTTTAATTGTTGACAGATTATGTTCTACAATTGTAATTCTACAGTTAAAGGAATTCGTGCAACATGTACATGAGTTACCAAACTACAGGGCAGGCACTGTTTGAAGCACTTCACATAAACTCATTGGATCCTTCCAAGCAGCCTAGGAGGCAGCCACTGGCTTTACCCCCATGTCTCAGATGAGTAAGTTGAGGTGCAGAGAGACTAACCTAGGCCAGTGGTTGTCAAACTGCGGCTCGCGAGCCACATGCGGCTCTTTGGCCCCTTGAGTGTGGCCACGAAGTTTCAATGCACTGTACATGCGCGCCCGCACGTGGTATTTTGTGGAAGAGCCACACTCAAGGGGCCGCGGTTTGCCGACCACTGACCTAGGCATTGGATGGGTTAGGATCCAAAGACCTGAATTTGAACCTGCCCCCCAACCCACACGCTGCAGGGCATCAGGTGAACCTCAGTGGCTGCACCACAGCCTGGGGACAGTGACCCCGCTGCGAAGTCACGAGGAGAAAAAGGGAAGACTTTCAAGGGAGCCCTCGGTGAATCGGGAGCTGTCCCACCCACTCGCTGGTCTTTTCCGTAGGTGGGGAACGCGCTTCTCACCCTGGGACCAAGGTTCACTGCCGTCACCAAACCCTTGGAAGGGGTGAGAGTGCTTAGGGAGCCCGGGCAGCCGAGGAGAGGCAAGGGGGCCCCACATTCACACGCCGAAAAGTGCAGGCATTTGAGAAGTCAACCATGAGGACACTGAGAAAAGAGGAACCAGAGAAGTGGAAGGAAAACCATGAAAAGGGAAGCCCCCCGAGGAGCGAGGGGGGAAAGGATGCTCTCCGCAGGGAGGGAGGGGGGGAGGGAGAGAAGGAGGGAGGGAGGGGTCCACCCTGCACCCGTCTCTCCTCTCCTAGCCTTCTCTTCACTTCTTCACTCATCAGCTCTACTTTCTGTGATTCCTCTTTTGAGTCACTTCCCTCCAGCGCCCTCAGTCTCCTCGCCCCTCTCCCCTCTCCTGCTCCAAGGCACACACCTGGCCAAACTCCAGCCACCTGCCTCCTGGGTGCCAGCTAAACGCCGCAGAAGGAAACCACCCAGCCAGCCCGACGGGTTTTACCTGAATCAGCCCTCCCGGCCTCCAAAGGGCACAGGGCCTGCTCCCTGCGTCTCTGGCGGCTGCTTTCTGCTGGGTGGAGAGAGGACTGTTTCCTTCCAGGCTCCCAACCCTCACCCCACCTGCCCTCCGACTGAGGATCATGTTCCAAACGGGGCTTCCCTGGGCAAACCAAGGCCATCAGATGGGAAGCCCCTGGCTGCATGTGCCCAGAGCACAAGTCCCCTCATCTTCCTTTTAAATATATATAGATAGATAGATGATTTCAGAGAGGAAGGGAGAGGGAGAGAAACATCAATGATGCGAGAAACTCATTGATTGGCTGCCTCCCGCACGCCCCACACTGGGGATGGAGCCTGCAACTCAGGCGTGTGCCCTTGACCGGAACGAACTGGGACCCTTCAGTCTGTAGGCTGACGCTCTCTATCCACCGAGCCAAACTGGCTAGGATCTTTTTTTTTTTTTTTTTTAAGAATTTTTAAATCCTCACCCAAGGATATGTTTATTGATTTTATTGTATTTTTTTTATTTTAAAGGATCATAAAAATGACATTTCTACAATTTCATTCCTTCACCGCTAGTAAGAGGGAAAAAAGGTGTAATACTTATGCAAAATGGGTGCCCCTAACAAATATTCACCCAGTTTGCTAAGGGAAACAGCTGAGGTACAGCTTCATAATTTAATTTTTAGTGCTTTATTTTATTTTTAGATATTTGGACTCAATAAACTGAAGAAGAAAAATCTTCTCATTTTCCTTAGCTTAGAAAAAGCCTGTAGTTCTATGTCCCTAGGAATCCATTCAAGATATTCTAGAACATCGAGGACATGATTCATATTTTGGGATCGTCACAATAACCCTCTTCCTAAAACAGATTGTTTATTGATTTTAGAGACAGAGGAAAGGGAGGTGGGAGGAGAGAGAGAGAGAAACATCCATGTAAGAGAGGAATAGCGATGTGAGAGAGAAACATTGATCGGTTGCCTCCTGTACGCCTCTGTCTGGGATTGAACCTCAAACCTAGGTATGTGCCCTGACTGGGAATTGAACCTGCAACCTTTTCATGTACAGGACGATGCTCCAACCAACTGAGCCACCGGCCAGGGCGACTCCATCTCTTGATGGAAGGAGCTGTGAAGTCACAAGGCAAGGGTCTGCATCCAGGGGAGGGGGAGGAGGGGGGGCTGGAGGCAGGTTAGAGTGATGCTCACCATATCTGCTCTCTTTCCCACGAGCTGGCCAAAGCCTGGTCCCAGTGGCCACTGTTACCCCACCGGCTCTACATCCCTGTTTTCTTTTTTTTAAATATATACAGTATTTTATTGATTTTTTACAGAGAGGAAGGGAGAGAGATAGAGAGTTAGAAACATCGATGAGAGAGAAACATCGATCAGCCGCCTCCTGCACACCTCCCACTGGGGATGTGCCCGCAACCAAGGTACATGCCCTTGACCGGAATCGAACCTGGGACCTTTCAGTCCGCAGGCCGATGTTCTATCCACTGAGCCAAACCAGTCAAGGCTACATCCCTGTTTTCTGACTTCAACCTGCTCTTCACTTCTTTCTGTGGATCCCTTTGATATTTTGGGGGGACCCTCTATCCCGTTCCTTACCCACTCCCCAACCCCGCCTTCGCCCATCGACAGAGCCTGACGACCCCCCTCCCTTCTGGATCAGGCCTGTCCTAGAGTCTCCGCCTCTTCTTCACTCCTTCCATCTCCTGAGGGAAGGTGTTTCTTCTCAAGCGCTCCTGAGGGTTCCCCCTGGACTCCGCCCACTCTCCCATCCTGGCCAGTTACCAGTCTATCTCCCTGCGGTGGGTCCTCTGGTTTCCATCCCCACATCTGCATGTGGTCCAGATCGCCCCGGGAGGGGACCTCTTGCCTAGACTCACAATAACAATCACAGTGTGTCGACTTACACACTGACCACTGAACTACACCAGCCAGGGCGGTCATGCATTTATTTAATGCATGTTGGGGGAACAGTAAGCAGTCCATCACACCTGTGATTTCATGACTATTTTTGTTTATGGTAAGCCGAGGGGAGCCCCTTGGGGACCCATTTAAGGAAAAAGGGGAAAAAATGGTTGTAAGAACAAATTAAAGGTGCAAAACAGTAGAGAAGCAAAACTTGTGAAATAGTCCTTTAGGAATTAAAGAAGTTGGAAAGCCCGCTGGGGCTGGGTTACCTCCACCTGACCTCCCCTAGCAGCCCCCAGAAATGTCTATCAGACCCAGGAAATGCTTTGTTTTATGTCTGTCTCCGCCCCTGGGGGGTGAGCCCCATGAGGGCAGGGCTGGGCCTGTCTCACCACCGTGTCCCCAGCGGGGCCCAGAGCAGGTGCTCAGGGAGTGTGTGGAATGAACTGGTGCCAAGCTGTGGGGTGTGGACTTTACCCCAAGGGCACTGGGAGCCACAGGAGGGTTCGGTCAGGGAAGTGTCAAGGCTGATCTGTGCTTTAGAAACTCCAGGCTGTCCCTACTCTAGGCCCAGAATATCAACACTGCTGCCCACAGGAACTTCTGCTATCAAACTCCTCTTTATCTCCTCCTCCTCCTCCTCCTCCTCCTCCTCCTCCTCCTCCTCCTCCTCCTCCAGGAAGCCTTCCTGAACCTCAGGCTGGTTGGGGGCCTGCTTTGTACTCCCACAGCCCCCTGGCTCTCCCATCCTAACCCTGTCTACCCTGTGGGCTGGGTCTGTATCCGCTGTGGTTGCCCGGCCTCTGAGAAGCCCCTCCCTCCAGAGCAGGTGCAGTGACTGAACCTCACTTGACCTTCATCTCCCCAGACCTCCTTCCCTCCACCAGCCCCTCCCAGCTATTGTTGGCTCCTCTCTTTGTATACGTTGCCATAATATATATTTTTTAAGTCGTGTGTAATCAACACCTCTGCTTTCTCACCACCTTTTAAAAATTAAAACATTTCTAAATTAAAAGTTTTTATATCATAAAATTTACCATTTTAAAGTGTACAATTCAGTGACATTAGGGTATTCTAATTCCAGAACTTTTCCATCACCCCGAAAAGTTCCCTGTGCCCCTTTAACACTCCCATTCCTTTCTTCTTCCCCAGCCCCTGGTAATGTAACCGGACAATGAATGGGTCCGTGCTGCCTGTCACTGCTTGAGCCAATTCAGCAGAGACAGGGTTGAATCATATGTGAGCGTTTATTCCAATCCTGCCGGCAGCATGGGAGAGCAGCAGGCCATCCACAAAAATCCACTCCCCATAAGCCAGCCC